AGAGTGCCAGGGCTTCGAGTTTTACCTGTGGGAAATCTTCCCCATGATTACATTCCACACCAGCCAAACTTTCACTGTATAGACTCCAAAAATAGACATTGGCTGTACCAACTTTCCTCTCATAAAATAGAAAAGTTAACCAACTTCAGTGTCCAAAGATTTCAAAAGCCACTCGGTAACGTGCATTTATAGCCAAGATTCTTAACCTACTAAGGCTTCCTAATAGCAGTGTCCCAGGGATAATCATTGGTAGCCATTTCTCTTCCCTATTGTTATATTCCTAAGGCCACCTACGAACAACTATTTACTCCTCACACAAACAAAAGCACAGGCCTCTGAACTGAAGGAAGAAAAGGGAACAGCCCTCGGCTTGGCCTAGGACCACGAGCTTGCTGTTGCTGATTCCTCACCAAGGATCCCAGGCATTCTCACTGTACATAGGAATGAAATTTGGTGTGGAGTTGAAACGACTTACAAGAAAATGTGTAAGGATTTCAAAGGTGCTCCCCAGATATATGCCATTCCTATCAGAATTTTCCAGCCCTTTGGGCCAGTAGTTCTCTTATTGTATTTTTCTTGAGGGAGGCAATTCCTTTCTTGGGTATTTTATAGCTAAACAAAGGCTTCGCTGTAATTTGAGGCAGACAGAAATAACATACATACCTTGGACACTTCTTAGCTGGTTGCTGACTTGTGGAACAAACTCTAGCGATAGAGGGAAATTTGGCATGCTGTTCCTCCTCAATCTATTTGCTCTGATCCTGCGGCTGTACTGATTGGTTTTGATATTTGGAGTAGCACCATTATCTCTTGATTTTTATCAGAATTTAGCTTTGTTTCCTGCTATTTTATTGTATTTTATCAAAATTTCTTTTTCTGTATACATTTTTAAAGGAATAGAACATCTGTAAATAAAGGTTTTTATCTTGTCCAAAGCCAAATATGGGCAAAGCACTCATCTTTGTAATATGTAACTAGCAAAGAATGAGAAATTTATATTTGAAAACATTTCATGAGTGAATGGGTAAGAAAATTTAGGTCAGTAGCAATGTATCTTGGGGGCAAGGCCCAGCTTCATGGATTGAAAAGGTGATAATCAGGTTCTGCTATAAAATAATGTTGGTTGTAAAGGAATTTGATAAATTCTGTTTTTATCATCTTAACAGAGGTAACCTAATGATTAATGGCTTTTTTGCTTCCCGATTTTCTTCTTTCCCTTTCATTTTTAAAAACCATTTTAAAAAATGAATAAATCATCCCATTTTTGTTCTACTTTGGAATGACAATTCTTTCCATGCAATTAAATGTGATATAGTTCTTCCTATAGCTCATTGCCATTTTCATTTACTGGTCTTCATTCAAGTGGGTAAGGTAGGGGATTATTAATACTTGTGCAAAGCCTAAAGGCAGTATAACAATGGGATATTTAGGATGCAACATCTGTAAAGGTGGAAATAAAACACAGACAACTGTCTAGAAACAAGTTGACTAGTGATCTAGGTCTTCGGGAACTTGTCAGTGTAAATTGGAAACCAAGCTGCATAGTTCAGAGTTCAGATTAAAGGGTAAACATGGACCGGTGAAGGGTTTTAAGTAGGGGCCTCAGGAGATCATTTTTGTTAGATGTGGAGAGTACCTCCCTCCTCTACAAAGCTGGCAGTGCCAGAAATAAGACATGGGGAGAAAGGGGAGGACCCACTGGCCTGAATTCTGCACTCTGAGGGGCTCCACCCACTCCTTTTTTTCACTATATTCAGGGTTAGGGGAAATGAGGCAAAATTTAAGGGGCACCAAGAAACAACAATCCAAATTAATATTTTAGTACCAAATTAAAAAAATGCTAAAACTAAAAATCCATAATGAAAAAAATCAACATTTTAAATAAAGACAAGATCAGTAAGGTAAAGTTAAAATTATTTAAGATCGGAACCAACAAATGGCATAGTGGTTATGTCGCTGGACTCCCATGTAATCGACCATGGCTTGAGTCCGGGACCTGGTGGCTTAAAACTCACACAGGGCACGTGTGTGTGTGCCCAAAATCCTGGAGGAGAAGGGGTTGCGGTTTGGCCATTCCTCCTGGGGGGTGATTTCTTGCTTTCTGTCTCTCTGTCTCTCCAGCGAGCACACATGCCCTATAATAAAAATAGGTATAAAAATTTTAAGATTATTACTTGGGAGGGCCAGCAGATGGCGTAATGGCTACATTGTTGGACTCCATGTAGCTGACTGATCCAGTCTCGGACCCGGTGGCTTAAACTCACGGGAGGCTTGTGTGCATGCCCGAGATCCGGAGAGGAGAATGGAGGAGAAGGGATAGCGGCATGGCCATCCCCCTGGGGGGTGATTTCTTGCTTTCTTGTCTCTCTCTGTCCTTCTGGGGAGTGCACATGCCCTATAGCAAAAACCTCTCCACAAAAAAAAAAAAAAAAGAAAGATTATCACTTGGACAAGAAAAATTGTCAGACATGGCAATATTCTCAATTGACTCAGGATAACTAAAGAAGTAAACTTTGATATTATCATTAATCAGTCTATTTTCATTAAAGCTAGGAAAGTAAAAATTTAATAAATTTTGGTTTTGGTATAAATATGTGAACTTAAAACAGCACAAATTGTGCATTTTAACACACCTAAGGATTCTCAATAACTATGGCTCTGGAAAAAGAAATTTAAATACATAAAAATACGTACACAGAGGCACACATCTTTCGTTGCGCCTCAGGTTCCAGTATGGCTCAGATCTTGCTTTTAAATATTTTCGTATTTTGTGTCTTATAGACTTCTTGTATTAATCTTGACCTTTTGAGACCAGCAGATGGTGTAATGGTTACATTGCTCCATGCCCACGTAGTCCAGGCTGTTGGAGCCCCTGACCCGGTGGTTTAAACTCACGCTGGGCTCCTGTGCTCCTGTGCATGGGAGCCGAAGATCACAAGAGGAGAATGGAGGACAAGAGATTGCGGCGTGGCCACCCTCCTCCCCACCAGGATGTGTGTGTGTGTGTGTGTGTGTGTGTGTTTGTGTGTGTGTGTTTGATTTCTCGCTTTCCCTCTCTCCTGCGAGTGCACCCATTCTATAGCAAAAAATCTCTCTTAAAAATAAATTTAAAAAATCTTGATCTTTTAAAATATTGCGTTAAAATATTATTTATCCTGGTTGCGGACTTTTTGGAGCGCCCTTAAATTTTGAGATCTCAATTCTTCTACTTTTTCTGCTTTTCTTAGTGCTTTAGGAGACTTAGGTTGTGGGTTCCCTACCTCGCAAATAACTTCCTCAGTAACTTGCAACGTTCCGAGCTCACCACTTGGCGGCGTCGAGCCGTTCGTCCCCGTCGGAAAGAAGCTTCCGGAACTCGCGGAGCGTGTGTCTGAGGCTCCCGGGGCAGCCTTTTCTCAGCGCACGCCGCGGACTTTCTGTTTCCCTCTTCCTCTCGCAAGTCTTGCGTCCTCCGTGCACCGGAAGTGGCCGGCGGGTTGGAGGCTGTCGGGGCTAGAGCGTCAGGTGAGGGAGGGAGGAAGGAAAGGCACGCGTTGTCTGGAGCGCCGGCGTGCCTGCCTGCCCGCGGGGTCGGGAGGTGGTGCCGTGTGGGTGTCAGGCCCTTCTGCCCACCCTGGTGCGGAGGGCCCGGCCTTGCTCCCCAGCTCCCCGGCCGCGTGGGTGGGAGCGCCGCCTTTGGGAGAGGGCGCCCGCCCATCCGGGTGAGGCTGCGGAGTCTGGTGGTCTCTAACGCTCTAGGGTCTTTGCTCACGTGGGTGGAGGCAGTTACTTTTTGGCAGCAGCAGATTTCAGATTTAAGTCCTACAATGACACGGACCTTAATTAAGTTTTTACTCAGTGTTAGGAACTGTTTTAGGAGTTTAGATGTAGCAGTGAATGAGTCAGTCAAAAATCTGAGCCCCAAGTTCGTGCATTTTGATAGCATTTGAGAAGACAGTGGATTGGAAGTGGGGGTAACGCAATCCGAATTTTTGGTACGGGTTGGAGGGTGGAAGTTAAGATGCACAGATGTGAGGTTTTTTTTTTTTTTTTTTTTTTTTTTTTTTTTTTTTTTTGTGGGGGGGGGG